CAGAGCATCACAGGGCAAGACAGAGCAAATTTGCTGGATCGGGTCTCATAAGATCAGGAGAGCCCACTTTGGGTCCTACCTGCTCCAGGCCTTGCTTTGAAATACTGTTAACATCTGATTTGGGGGAGTGAGTTTCCAGCATTTGAACTTGGGGGATGTCTTTAGCATATACCAAAAGTTAACTGAAGAGCTGTCTTAGGATAAAGAAGTGTCTTCAGTGAGTGAAACAGTATGTACTGACAAGAGGTTCAGTCTTTCCATACTGCCCATCTTGCTTTTTGCCCCGTTAAATCCTGCCACCAATCTTCCCACCTAATGATTTCTTGTTAAATTCTGCCAGTCCTTCCAATTTATGAGTTCCCGTTGGGTCCTAGGGACTAATTTCAGTGAGTTGGACTTGAGATAATCACCAATTTCGCTGGAAATTAACAGATAATTAGACACAAATGGATAGAAAGATGAATTCCTGACAAATCCCACTTCGGGTGTTTGTGAATACCCAATAGTTAATGTTTACAATTTGTGCACCAATGTCTAAATGGAATGGAGTTGCAGGAAATAAAGTTTTCCATCCTTGTCATTGAACATGATTGATTTTGCTGTTGAGGCCATTGTATAAGCTAAGTTTCCTTCTGTTGCTAATACCTTGAAAGAGTAGAATCACCATCATTATTTCTTTTTATCTACCATCATGATTTTATGTGGTATAGGTGACTTGAAAATAACTCATGTATTATGGAAGAGGATTATCAACTTCATTTTTGATGTGGTTTTTTTCCCTTTTAAAATTGACAATTGTACATACTTCAGAGTGCAATATGATAATGTGATACATTTATATAATGTACAATGTCCAAATCAGAATAATTAGCATTTCTATTCCCTAGGCATTTATCATTTTTTGTGTATTGACAGTCTTCAAAATCCTCTCCTAAAATACAGGTTTTGTGTATTATAGTCACTGTGCTGGAGAACTTCAGAATCTATTCTTGTAATGTACATGTAATTTCCTCAAACTTGTGGCCTAATATATGATCTGCTTTTGAAGAATGCACACTAAGCTGGTGAGGAGAATGTGTACTTGGCAACTGTTGGATGAAATGTTGTGTAAATGTCTGCTAGGTCTATTTGATTTTTTGTAACTACTTTTTTCTTTATACGAAGTGAGCAGATTTCATGTATTTCATGAACATAATGTTACTTCCAATGTTGCCTACCCCTGCTTGCATTCCCTACCCACCTGCCTCCTCTCATCCTTACCCCCTCCAATTTTGCAGTGAAATGCTTTCATTTCACTTCAGAATCACAGGCTTAATGCTCCATTAGGCAAAGATATTAACCCATTGCATGTAGAAAAAAAACCTACTATTAGGAGTAAGGCTATAAATAATAATCAGACCCTAGGGTGTAATTCCCACTTGTATATACTGCATTGTTTCTACACTCTGTATTAACACAGATAAGGCAAACGTGGTGTTTGTCATTTTTGGATTGGCTTATTCACTAAGCTGATGGTTTCCAGTTGAGTCTCTCTAGCTGCAGAAGAAAAGATTACATTCTTGTATTATGGTGCGGAATATTCGTGTGTGTTTGTGCCTGATCAGCAGATGATGAGCCTCTGGGTTGATCCCATACCTCAGCTCTTATGGCTGTGTTGCTATAGACATGGCAGTACTGATAAGTCTCTCATGAGCTTATTTCACTTGATTTGGATGAATTCCCAGGAGTGAGATGGCTGGGTCATATGGTAAATCTATTTTCAGATCTCTGAGAAGTCTCCACACTATCTTTCATAATGGTTGAACTGGTTTATATTCCAACTAACAGTGGAATAGGGTACCTTTCTCCTTACATCCTGGCCAGCATTTATTTTTTGATTTTGTGTGTAATAGTCATTTCAACTGGGGTGAGGCAAAACCTTACTATGGTTTTTATTTGAATTTTTATGATGGCTAGTAACCTGAGCATTTTTTTTTCATGTTTGTTAACCATTTGAATTTCATCCTTTGCAAAATACCTATTTATGTCCTTTGCCCATTTATTTGCTGGATTGTTCTGTTGTTGTTGAGTTTGTTGAGCTCTTTATATATCCTGAATATTAATTCTTTATCAGTTGAGAGTTTGCAAATATTTTTCTCCCATTTTCTTGTCTGCCTCTTTACTTTGTTGGTTTCCTTTGAAAAGTTTCTTAGCTTGATGTAATCACATTTGTTTATTTTTGCTTTTATTTCCTGTGCTTCTGGCATTTTTTCCAAGAAGTTTTTGTCTACACTTAAGTCTTGGTTTTCATTTATGATATCAGATTATAGATTTAGATCCTGTATCTATTTTAGAGTTGATTTTTCTTAATGAAGGGGTAAGATACTCATTCATCTTCATGTGTGTTTTTGTGCCAATTGTGGACTGTTATGATTATAGCTACCCTGAAATCTGGTATTATTACACCTCCAGGTTTGTTGTTATTGTTTAAGAAGATTGCTTCAGCTGTTGTTTCAAAATGAATTTTAGCACCATTTTATTTAGATCTGAGGAGAATGTCATATGTGCTTTTATTGGGATAGCAGTGAATCTAAATTGAATTTGGTACTGTTGTACCCAAGCAAGCTGATACAGAGGTGCTTGTTCACATCCTTTATTGCTATCTCTGGGTGCTCTGCCTTAGTAGCTCATAAGAGATAGGGGTGTTTACCACCCACTGCCAGGCCACCATTCTTGACTCAGTGTCAATGGGGAACATGTATTTAACCTTTCAACAAAACCACCAAATCGCTTGCACCTGCATGGAGCCAGATGTGTGTTGTGGCTACTGTAACCACTCAACCTTTGCTTATGCCAGTAATCATTCCTGGCACATGCACCATTCTCCAAATGGCAGCTTTTCCCACTGATCCAGGTATTTTGTAGATGGAAGAAGGGAGTGTGCTCCTCCCTGCAACTCCTCTCTCCCCCAGCACTCTGTCCTCTCTCTGGCTCATGTTCGGACTTAAGAGTTAGTGTGGCCACAGGTTTTACTAGAGATAGTGGCACCAGCATCTCTGGGCCCATGGTCTGGACCCACCTCTTTATCCAGATATGCTGTCTTCCCAGTCCCTGGCACGGTATCTTTCTTTAGGTGGTGAGTTGTGGCTCACTGATGACCGTTGGCTGCCCCTATGTGTGGCTGCAGGCACCATCTCAGCTCTGTCCTCTTATCCCATGAAGCTTTCACTGTTTTCTTTGCTTCTTCGCTGAAAGTTTCTGTCAGACTTCTGGAGATATGATCTTCCTTCATGCTTTTCACATCCCGGCACGGCTTAAATTGGCATGGCATCCCTGTAGTATATTTTACTCTGATGTTTCCTTGTTAATTTTGTTCACTGGTAAAACTAGACTTTGAAGTCCAGAAATATTGTTTGAAGTCTGTTCTTCAAGATCTAATAATGTTTGCTTTATATGGTTAGTTGTACTGGTGTTGGGTGCATATGTACAGGTATCTGAAAATAGATGTTTATGACCCTGCCATACCACTCTTGGGAATATATCCAAAATAAATGAAATCTGCATTACAAGAGTTACCTGTAATCTCATGTTTATAGCAACACAATTCACAATAGTCAGATAAGGAATCAAGCCAGCTGCCCATCAACAGATGAATGGGTCAATAGAATGTGGTACATTTACTTCGAGGAATATTATTCAGCCATGTAAAAGAATGAAATCTTACTGTTTCCAACAAAGTGGACCCAGATGAAAACTGTTATGCTTAGTGAAATAAGCCAGTCTCAAATATTGTAATTTCTGATATATGATGAGTAATACAGAGCATTAAAAAAGTAGAAATACTGTAAATTCTACAAAACAGATCAGCTTACTTGTATAACAATGAATACAGCTGAGTCCTAACTCTCAAGTAATAGTAGCATTCCCATTATTGTTTGTAATTATATTTTTATGTTATTTTCTTTTCCTATACTTGTCATTCCACGAACCTTTATAGATCAGCAAGTTAAACTTGTAACAGTGAAATGAATGATTGTGACATTGTTAAAACTAGGACAGTTTTTGGGAAAGGGTTAAAAAAAAGAGGGAGACATTTGTCCCATATTTTGAAGATCTGTATCATGGAAAAATAAATTGTTTTTAAACTGAAAATCCATTTAATCAGACTGAATCTTTGGGTAATTTAATATGTTAAATTAAAAAAAATTCTAATTATTACTGAAAAGGCAGATTTACAGAGAAGGAAAAACAGATCTTTCATCCATTGATTCACTTCCCAAGTGGCTGCAAGGGCCAGAGTTTTGCCAGCCCAAAGCCAGGAGCCAGAGTGCAGGGTCCCAAGACTTTGGGCCATCCTCTGCTGCTTTCCCAGGCCACAAACAGGGAACTAGATTGGAAGCACAGCGGCTGGGACACAAACCCTCTCCTCTGTGGGATCCCAGTGTTTGAAGGAGGAGGATTAGCCAGTAGAGCCACTGTTCTGGACCCTGATTAATTTTTGATTAATCTGGTGTGCTGAGGATAGGCACCTCTTGGTTTCTATAAGATGCACAGATGCCTTCTTGGTCATGAAAATGCCAGGAAATAAAAGAAGTAGTAACATCCTCATACAAATTGTAGGGCTTAGTATGTAGCAAATGGTAGCAAGTAGGGTAGTCTACATTATGATGCAATAAAAAACTACTCAACAATATCACTGACTTGCAAACTATGTTCATTACTCACTTATCCTATTCATATGTCACAGATGAGTCATGGCTCTATTACATGTCATCTTCATGTGGGACCCTGGCATATGGAGCAAACTGTACCTGAGTTGTAGTGGATCTCATGGAGAAGGGAAACAAATGATGAACAGGTTGGCACTTAAATCTTCCACCATTATTTAATTGACCAAAGCAGGACACATGACCATGCCTGAGTTCTACAGGGCTGTGATACATAGTCCTCACATTAGAAGGGACAAGGAATAATTTTGAACAACCTAGGACGTTCATTTTGTTGATTGATCTTAGGTGCTTATGGAAACTGCAGTGTGCAGACCAATCCTTTCTCCCACTCACATCAATGCTACAGCTTCTGAAGCATTCACGGTACTTCAGCAAAGGATGAGAATAGTGGAGGAACAGACCAGCTCTTTGAGGAATGATCTAATCATGTTGGACTATGATGACAAAAGGTAACAAAACTATAGTTTGAACATTTATTCTTTACTGCTTAATATAAGGAGTCAACAGTAGTTTAGCTGATGATACAGGTATTTATGAAAGAATTAAGCAGTTTCTATTTGAATGTTGATTAGTTAGAAAATATTTACAAGTTACAGTTGTCATATGTGGTATTTACCAGTGTTTTTACAAGCATGTAGTAACTGAAAGTACTGGAGTTCTTGTAAAATTAGTTAAGATGAAAAGAAACTGTTCCTTTATCATTGATTTGGCATTTGCAGTCTTCCCCCACATCCTTGCCAATATGTATTGTCTTTTGAATTCTGCATGATGGCCATTCTCATACAGAATGATGGAACCCTATTGTGGTTTTATTTACCTTTCCCAAATAGCTAGAGAACTTGAACATTTTTTCATGTCAGCTATTCAGATTTCACATTTTGAAAAGTCCCTGTCGATGTTGTTTTCCTGTTTAACTGGTTGGTTATTCTACTGTGTTTGAGTTTCTGGAGTTTTCTTTAGATCCTAAATGTGAGTCTTCTGTCTGTTGTGTAGTTCACTAGCATTTTCTCCCATTCTGTTGGCTGCTGCTTCACTTCATTGACAATTTCCTTTGCAATGCAGAAGCTGTCTATCTTGATGTAATCTCATTTGCTTACTTTTGTTTTAATTGCCTCAGGTTTTGGAGTCTTTCCATGAAGTCTGCCTGGGTCTGTGTCGTGCAGTGTTGTTGATCTTTTCCTCTAATAATTTGATGGTATTAAGTCATAGTTAGATACTTGATCCATTTAGAGTTGATTTTTGTGCAAGGTGAAAGGTGGGGATGTCTACATGTGTCTTCTGCACATGTAGATTCATTTTTTCCAGCACCGTTGGCTGAGGTGATTGTCCTTTCTCCCTGGATTGATTCTGATTTATTTTCAAAGAGAAATTGGTTGTAGATGTAGGGGTTCACTTCTGGGGTTTCTGTTCTGTTCTGTTCTGTTGATCATCATTTTTTTTTATGCCAGTATCAGGCTGTTTTGCTTGTCCTCTAGTACAAAGTCTGGTGTTGTGATGCCTTGACCTTTGTTTTTGTTATTAAACATTGCTTTAGTTACTCTTTGTGTCTCTTCTGTTTGCATATAAATTTTGGTATAGAACATCATAAGTGTTTTGGAATCTCACTTAATTGTGATTATTGTGCATAGTATGAACATTTTGATGGTACTGATTATGCTAATCCAGAAACATGTCAGGCTTTTCCATGCTTTGAAGTCTGTTTTTTAGTGTTTTGTAGTTTTCATATTAGAGATCCCTCACGTCCCTGGTTATGTTTCTTCTAAGATTTTGAAGTTTTTGCCACAGCTGTGAGTGGGACTGATCTGACAAGTTCTTTCTTGGCCATGGAGTTGTGTATACAAAAGCTGTTGATTTTTATGTGTTGATATTAAGTCCTGCAACCTTGCCAAACTCTACCATCAGTTCCAATAGTCTCTTGGTAGAATCTTTTGGTTCCCCTATATGAAGTATTATGTCATCTGTGAATAGGGATAACTTGACTTCCTCCTTTCCAATTTGTGTCCCTTTGATTTCTTGTCTAATCTCTGGTTAAAAATTCCAGGAATGTATTAAATATCAGTGGTGAGACTGGGCCACCTTTTTCCCATTCAGTGAGATGCTAGCATTGGGTTTTTCTTTGTGTTGAGGAACAATCCTTCCATTCCCAATTTGCTTTAAAATTTTTAGCATGAAAGCATGTTGTGTTTTATCAAATGTTTTCTCTGCATCTATGAGATAATGTTTTGTATTCCTCATTTTGCTAATGTGGATTATTATTTTTGTTCATTTACATATGTTGACCATGTTTACCAGGGATTAATCTCACCTGATCTGGGTTAATGATCTTTCTAATGCGTTGGATTTAATTAGCTAATACTTTGTTGAGCATTTTTGCATGCTTGTTCATCAGGAATAGTGACCAGTAATCCTCTTTTTTTGTATCTTTCTGACTTGAAATTAAGGTGATTGCCTCCCTTTCTATTTTGAATAGATTGTGAAGGATTTGGATTAGTTCTCCTTGAAAGGTTTGGTAGAATTTAGTGGTGAAGCCATCTGGTCCTGGAATTTTCTTAGTTAGAAAAAAATCTTTAATGTTGATTCAGTCTCTTTCCTAGCTAATTGTTTATTTAGGTTCTCAGTATTCTTTTGTCTCAGTTTTAGTAGATTGTGTGTATCCATAAATCCATTTGTTTTGGATTTTCTACCTTACTGGTGTTTGCAGTAATTTCTGACAATTCTTTGTATATATGTGCTATTAGTTATAGTTCCCTTTTCCTCTTGGATTTTATTGATGTTTGTATTTTTGTTGGGCCAAAGATGTATCAATTTTACTAATCTTTTCAAAAATTCAGCTCATTGATTCATTGATCTTATGTATCTTTTTTTGGTTTCAATTTTGTTCTCTATTTCTTATAATTTTGGGATTGTTTTGCTGTTGTATTTCTATTTCCTTGAGATATGATGATAGGTTGTTTATTTGATGTCTTTTCAGTTTCTTTATATAGCACGAATTGCTCTGAACCTCCCTCTTAGGACTACTACTGCTGTGTCCCATAAGTTTTGAGATGTTGTTTTGTCATCTTGATTTGTTTCTAGGAATTTTTCTATTTCCCTTCTGATTTCTTCTGTGATCCATTGTTTATTCAGAAGCATGTTGAATATTTTCTTCAGGGACACCTAAGATGTATAGGCTTGGTTGTTGGATGGTATCACGTAATTCTTGAACTTTGTTTTGTTTTACTCAATTATTCTTTTTGTCTGAGATTTTCCCCAGAATTATCTTCTAGCTCAAAGATTTTTTCTGCTTCAACTCAATCATTAAGGCTTTTCGCTGTATTTTTATTTGGAATACTGCCTTTTAAAAAAAATATTTCAGCTTGCTTTTTCTTCAGAATTTCAATCTCATACTAGAACATTTTATTCATGTTGTGTATAGGTTTTCTTAATTCCTGCGTCTGCTTCTCTTGGTTTTGAGTAGTCTATCATTTTAAAACTCATTTTCAGGAATTTCGTCAGTCTCTTCATATTGGCTTTAATATTGAGGGATTTTTATGCTCATTTTGGGGGAATCATAATGTCTTGTTTCTATGTTTATTTTTTGGTATCTCTGAAAATACTTGTTGGTTTTCTTCTCTGATGGTTTTATCATTAAGTTATAGTTCTGTGGTGGAGTGACCACTTTTTCGGTGAAAATCCAGAGAATCCAGGTTGAGGCTAGGGTATTCGTGCCAGTGCTCAAGTGTGGGATGAGAGCCCAGGGTGACATCTGGAGGGAGTGATCATGACTGTGAAGGTAGCCTCACCTCCTCTCGGTCCTGGTGATCAACACCCTGGGTCTCAGGCACATTGGGTGTCCAGAGACCCAGGTCATGCTGGAATTTCTGCAGACTTTGTGCTCCAGTCTCCTGGAGTCGCATGGAGAAGAGATGGCAATGTTTATTTTGATGCTCAGAGAGCAGAGCAATGTTTCTGGCACCAGCTTCTATGAGTGCTGTGCCTTGGGAAATTTCAACCCTAAGCCTATAGCAGTGTGAAGGGGTGTGTATACCTGCATCTCATGGATGTATAACCCTCAGCCAGTCTGCCAGCACAGAGTCTAAGTTCTCAGGGAGTGCCTTTTTGTCTATGAGAGAATTCCATAGTCACTTATATACACATATATTGGTGAGCACAACAGCCACCACTGACCTTCACTCATCTTTAGGTGACTTTAAAGCTCTGTTGGTCCATGAGGTTGGAGGGGAAGACAAAAGGGGTTCTCAGCCCCCCATGGTGATTTAGGAGCCCCTCACCTCCATCTAGCTGCCAGTCATGGGACCTTGAATTCTGTGATGGGCATTATTGCCTTCAGCACTGAAGATTGTGGTCGGCATGTGAAAATCTGCCATTCTGTCACTTGACTTGAAAATGGCACTGATTTCCTCCTTGGCCCAAGTGCTGAGGTTAGGCTTGCAGAAAGAGATGCTATTCCCTTGCCTCCCAAAGTTCTGGGTTGTTCTGCCACCTGCTGCCATGGCAGTAATCAAGCCAGAAGTTAGTGCTGTTTGCTAGATTCTATGCCAGAAAACATCTGGCCGAAACAACCTGTTCCCACCTGGCTCAGCAAGCTGCAGCCTCCCCCAGCTTTGCAGCGGGCAGCCCCCCAGGAGTTTGTGCTGTCTGCTGCATGACTGCTCTGTCCATATGTCTCCATGGTGTGACTCTGCTGTTGAAAATGTTTCCGCTGCTGGATTCTCCTGAATCTTTCCCTTGGAATGCACCTCCTCAGCCATTCTATCACCTGTTTTCCCTAGTCAATTTCTGCCTGTTTGCTCCCTGATCAGTCCTTTTGAAATTCCTCACACATGACCCTGTTAATTCTACCTAAATTTGTTTGGTACCCTTTAACCAGTTGCTCTGCTCCCCCATCCTTCACGCTTCTCAAACACTAGTGGTAATCTATTCAGAGTAACACTGACTTGCATATATGAGAGAGAAATGCAGTATTTGTTTCTGTCCCTGGTTTATTTCATTTAGCATAAAGGTCTCTACTCCACTAATTTTGTTGCAAATGTCAAGATTAGATGTCATTTTGAAAATTAATCCATTGTGTGAATGTGTGAATGTGTGTATGTGCATACCCCATACATACATAAATGTATACAACCGCGTATTTTCTTTATTCATTTGTTCATAAATGAACATCTAGGTTTTTCCATATCTTAACAGGCTGTGACTTGTAAATATAGGGGTATTAAGAATCTAATATATATGTATGTATATGTACATACATATACATTTATACATTTGGTATGCCCAGTGGGATAGCTGGTTTGTATGGTAGGTTCAGTATGGTAGTTTTCGATATTTTGAGAAATCTGTTTTACTACAGGCTGTACTAATTTGTATTCCCAGCAACAGTGTGTGCATAAGCATTTCATTTCTCCACATGCTCACCAGCATCTGTTATTTTTGTGTTTTTGGTTATAGC